GTCCTTTGTGGATTCTTACTATAATCTTGTAAGATTCTCACTATATTCTTATTCTTATTTTTACTACATTTGTATTAGTTACAATTTGATTCCAACGTCATTATAGCTTGCTTAAAAATGCCACTTGCACTTAGTTTATTTATAAACTTAAAAAATGGTGCTAATACACTAATAATAATAATAATCTAATTATTTCATAAGAAAGATCTTTGTTATCGTATAAATAACAATATGAATCTCTATGGCAGCTGAGTGTAAATAATTTTGTCCTTCACCTTAACTTAACATATAAATTGAATTCAAATGAAATTATCGACTTGTAATTTATATATATGTATATATAATATATCTTATATATAAAATTCTTCTGTAATGATGTATGTAAATATACTCCTCCTGAACAATTATTCGGATTTTGATAAATCTTTCTGAAGTTTGTTAAGGGAATTGTTTAAGATATATAGAATTATAAAAATATAGTAATATTGTAGAAATAAATGGGAAAGATTGCAAAAACGACATGACAGTGTTTGACAATGAAAATATTTGAGACATTGTTTGGCATTGAAAACAAATGAGAACTGTCATCTGCCAGAAATTTCATATACTTATGAGCCTAGACAATATTAGAATATGTATAATAAATTCATGATTATGAATAAGAAAAATGAAATGCCTACATTATTATTGCCGAAAAGCACATGATATGTGCCAGAAATTAAAATAATATCAAATACAGTATGTGTATGGCAGATTGAATGATACACATATGAACTGGATATGACAAATTAATTTACTTAAAATATGAAATTAAGTTATAATTAGTGTCGGTTCTACATTGAATACGAGTGCACGTCTTAGGGGGCGCCAACACAAGATTCGGATATAAAATTTTCAATATAGTTTTTTTTTTCAATATAATTCAAGAAATATATAATTTCTTTGCTTCTTTTACTAATCTTTGCACAATATTTTTAAAATATGTTAAAAATTTCACTTTAAAACAACAAATGGGAATTCGGCCCTTACGATATCAATTAGAAGAAGTTTAACCCTTTCCACTCGCGAATTGCGAGATTTACATGTATTTTGCTGTTAAGATGCAATTTTGAATATCTTAAATAATAAGAAATTAAATTATTTAGATGTAAGCTACCGAAGTTATAATATCCACTGATAATGACATTAAATTGAATGTCGAAATGTTTGGAATTAAAGATTAATTTATAAATCTTTGGTTTTTTTCTTTGATGTATGTTTCTTTTCCGAACAATTCTAAATCTAATGAATAAAAAACAATTTGTTTTTTGTAGATGTTTAGTTACGACGTTTCTGAACTAGATACGTTTCATCATCAGGTTTCTTCTGTCAAAAACATTTTTTATATAGACTAATACTATTAATGACGAAGAATACAGAATAATAATAATAATAATAATATATATATATATATATATATATATATATATATACAATCTGCATATCTCTGTGACATACTAAAATCTCGTCCAATGCGTAATACAAAACAAACATCAATTGTAATTCTCAATAATGTACAATCATTATGATTCTTCTTCTGGCCA